CAGGCACAGGCTGGCAGTGGTTCCATGAGGGTGGAAGAACATCCCCCTCCCAGGTGTGTCCACCAGGTTCCATGTGAGGGATCATTTATCCCATCCCCTGGCAATCTCTTACAGTGATTCACAAGCTCCCATTAAAAATGTGCATCTTTTTTCCAGCTGGAATTTTTCAGACTCGAGCTCTCAGCCGTTGGGTATCATTATGCAGTGTTTTTATTAGATCAAAAAGGTCTCCAGCACATACCTCTTCCCCCTGGGAATGGCACAGTGGGATTGCACTGCCTCTGCATTGTCTGATGATGTGTGTGTATTAAAATCACTGTTTTTGTCTGAATTTCCAGACAGTTCTCTCTCAGGAGCCCCGTTTGGGGAAGATCAGAGAAACAGCCCTGCTGTTCATGGTGCACGTGGTTCATGTCTCCAGCTATCAGCTTAAGATCAGAGAATCCCGGGATGGTTTAGGTTGGAAGGGGCCTTAAACTCCATCTCGTTCCACCCTCCTGCCATGGGCAGGGACTCCTTCCATGTGTCCATGGTTGCTCCAAGCCCCATCCAACCTGGACTTGGACACTTCCAGGGATCCAGGGGCAGCCACAGCTTCTCTGGGCAACCTGTGCCAGGGCCTCCCCACCCTCACAGGAAGAATTTCTTCCCAATATCCCATCTAACCCTGCCCTCTAGCAGTGGGAAGCCATTTCCCCCTGTCCTCTCCCTCCAGGCCCTTGTCTAAAGCTCCTCTCCATCTTTCTTGTAGCTCCTTTCAGGTACAGGATGACCACAATAAGGTCCCCCTTAAGCCATCTCTTTTCCAGGTTGAACAATCCCAATTTTCTCAGCCTTTCCTCGTAGGAGAGATGCTCCATCCCTGTGATCAGGATGATGCTGTCACAGCAGGACAATATATGTGGTTTATTCCTCAGGTGTTCTCCCAGGACCTGCATAATTCCTTGCCTGTATGTGGTGTGTCCATTTGCAAAGTCTCCAGAAGTTTCCTTTCCATACTCTGCCTCCCCAGCTTTTGGCTTTCCCAAAGACTTTCCTCAGGGATGATGCAGGCACTTCACACGTCAGACTGTGGCCTGGGCTCACTGCTCCAGCAGTGGCTGGGAGCCCAGATTTCTTCAAAGGCTTCTGGAATTGCTGCATTGCCTCTTGGCAGCTTGAGTTCAGCCCCGGATCCCGATCCCATCTGGCTCTGTGGTGGGAACGTGGACGAGCCCATCTGCCCATCCTCACTGCAAGGGAATGTGGAGCAGGTGGAGGGGATGGGGTGGCACAGCATCCTGTCACAGCACAGGACAGCAGGCCTGGAGTGACACCGGGGCTGTACCTGCTGTGCCAGGGCACTGAGCATCCACAGGCTCCTGCATCCCCAATAATGGGGACACAGTCCTGTGTCTCTGGGTTGCTCCTACCCAGTGTTAAAAGTGGGTTTGGACAGCCCCAACCTCCATCTAAATCACTAAAATCTCCCAGGCAGCACTTTTCCAGGGATGGCCGTGCTTCCCCCTGGTGCTGCTTTCACAGGAGTGATCCCTGGCTCTGCACCAGCTCCACAGGGATATGATCCTTCACATCACTGGGTTGGAGAGGGATAGATTGTCTGTCTGCTCCAGTGCCACAGGGTTTGGGAAGCTCCTGCTGGTTGCCAGCTGGATGTGTGTGGGGTTTCTGCTCTGTCCATTGGCCTCTGGCCACAGGGATACAAGGGGAGAAGGTGAATGATCCCAGAGCTGGGATGGGAACCCGGCTGTGCCAGCACCAAGCTCCCTGTTGCCTTCCTGGGAATTGGGAGCAGCTTAGTGTTGGAAAAGCCCTCTGAGACCATCGAGTCCAACTGTTCCCCCAGCACTGCCAAGGCCACCACAAACCCATGTCCCCAAGTGCCACATCCACATGGCTTTTAAAGCTGCCCAGGGATGGGGACTCCACCACTGCCCTGGGCAGCCTGTTCCAATGTCTGACCACCCTGTTGGTGAAGAAATTTGTCCTCATATCACCAATTTAGTGACTTGAATAGAACAATTTAGATCAGTTTTACTTCATCTGTCCCCAACCCAATCAGGCCCCTTGGTCTCCCAGGGGTGTTTTGCCTTCGTGTGGCGTCGGCAAGGATTGTGCTGAAAGGATTTCGGTCACAGCCAACCTGAAAAGCAACCTCAGAATTGCAGCTGTGTTTTCCTTCTCGCTTGGGCTTTTGATTTTGTTCTGGGAGTTTTTTATAGCCTGACATTTTCCTATGTGACTAAAGAACCTTAAAAACAAAAGGGGGAGGAGATGGCACAGGCAGCAGCACAGGCTGTTGATCGAACCGTGATGACGAAGCCGTGCTCAAGCCCCAGCTGGAATTGTGGGTGTTCCAAGAGCACCCTAAAATCTTCTTTACCTCCTTTCCAGCGGCTCAGCACCAGATCTTCAACACCAGGTCAGCCCATGTCTTCAAAACCAGGAAGCTCTCTGGAGATCTCAGAGAGGAGATTGGGTCTGACCCCACCTCTGCTGCTGACAGTCTTTGGTCCCCGCCCTTCCCCTGCTCCTTTTCCCGTTGTTCATCCTGTACACAGGAGATCTTTGCATTCCCAACACCAGACACAGTCATTCCTTCACCCAGCAGCTCTCCAGCCACAGACTGGGAAGTGCCTGTCACTCAGACTGGACAGGGAGAGCACGCTGTGCCTGGGAATGTCACCACAGTTGGGACATCATCCTGAAAAGTCCTCTGTCCTCTGTCCATTACATAAATCACTTTAGAGCCTTTTCCCTGACCATTTTTTGGAGCAGAGCCAGGAGCATTTGGAGCCACATGGCCACCATGACCTCACACACACTGGCCCTTGCTCTCCTGACTTGTCTCCCCACCCCAGAGATAAGGAGATGGGATCCATCAGCCAGAGCTGCTGCTCACTGCCATTGTCTCATCCCAAAACCACAATAATGACTTCATTTCCAGTGGAATCCAATTCCTGCAGGAAGCGTTTTACTAGGATGGATTTTCTCTGTGGTTGCCCCACAGAGGCATTTTTAAGCTGTTCCCCCTTGTCCTGTCTCTCCAGACCCTTCTCCAAAGTCCCTCTCCAGCTTTCCTGGAGCCCCTTTAGGCACTGGAAGGGGCTCTCAGGTCTCCCCCGGAGCCTTCTCTTCTCCAGGTGAACCCCCCCAGCTCTCCCAGCCTGGCTCCAGAGCAGAGGGGCTCCAGCCCTTGGTGGTGGTTTGGTTCTCTAGGAAAACATCCTCAAACTGTCCCCTTTATTGTGCACTAAGAGCTGACTGTCAGCTCATACCTATTCAAGGCCAGGTTGGACAGGGCTTGGATCAAGCTGCTCCACTGGAAGGTGTCCCTGCCCATGGCAGGGGGTTGGAACGAGAAGACCTTTAATGTCCCTTCCAGCCCAAACCGCTCTGGGATTGTATGATTCTATAATTCTCTTACAAACTTGGTGAAATTGGCCCTTTTAAAGTGTTCAGGAGCTCCTGATCTGCACCAAATTTCTGCTGAAACACAACAAGCACTGTATGAATAAGACTTGGAGATGATTAAACCTGACTTATCATCCTGCACCCGGCAGACAGGCGAGGAGGAGACGCTGCCGCAGGAGACACGTTGGTGCAGGAGGCGCTTCCAGGAGGTGGTGGATTCCTGGGATTGCAGCTCAGGCACGAGCAGTTATGATGGATTTTGCTTGAGAGCAGAGTTCAGCTGTGAGGCAGTGACAGATCCCCTCCCTGCTCTCCCTGCGCTGTGTTTTGGTACCAGGAAAATGAAACAGTTTGTGTTTTATTGCCTGTTTGTTTGCTTCTCTGAAGGTACAGTTTGATTCTAAGGGCACACAGGGCTGTTGTTGATATGAGGAAAAACATAAATAAATGAAAATGAGAGGCAAGAAGGAGCCACAGGAAAAGCTGCTCCTTTGTGGACTCCTTTTATCGAAATTCCTTTTGTCTCTCCAGCCTCTGATTTAGATGTTTGATAGAACCCCCTGGGTCCCACTTTTCCCATGTTTGGTGTTTGACCTTCACGCTGTCCCCCATCACTTGTATCTTCTGCTCCTGAGAGATGGGAGCAGCAGCTCCAGGCTGGCATGTGGTGTCCAGGTCTGGGCTCCTCAGCAGAGGAAGGACATGGACCTGTTGGAAAGAGTCCAGAGGAGGCCATGGAGATGCTCCAAGGGCTGGAGCCCCTCTGCTCTGGAACCAGGCTGGGAGAGCTGGGGGGGTTCACCTGGAGAAGAGAAGGCTCCTGGGAGACCTGAGACCCCCTTCCAGGGCCTAAAGGGACTCCAGAAGAGCTGGAGAGGGACCTGGGGCAAGGGATGGAGTGACAGGACAAGGGGGAAATGGCTTCCCACTGCCAGAGGGCAGGGATAGATGGGATATTGGGAAGGAATTGTTGGGTGTGAGGGTGGTGAGGCCCTGGCACAGGTTTCCCAGAGAAGCTGTGGCTGCCCCTGGATCCCTGGAAGTGTTCCAGACCAGGTTGGATGGGGCTTGGAGCAACCTGGTTTAGTGGAAGGTGTCCCTGCCCGTGGCAGGGGAGTGGACAAGATGACCTTTAAAGGTCCCTTCTAACCCAAATCAGTGTGTGACTATGATATAACAACACGTCCCTATTCTTTTCCTTTGAATGCCAAAAAAAACCCCAAACAACCCATCATTTTCCAAACTAATTCTGCAGCAGAGACGGGATTGTTACCTGCAGGTCCTGCTGGAGCAGACTCCTAGGAAAGAAGCTTGTCCAATAAGCTTCCTTGGAAGGTTTCTCAATGACATTTTAAGGCAGAGGCAGGCAGGGAGCTGTGGGTGAAGGAACATTTTGCATAAGCCCACACAGCAGTTCCAGCGTGGGCAGGTCTTACAGGGCTCTTCACAGCAGGAATGTGGATAAATGTGTCAGAGAGAACACCCTCTGAGGAACAGGGGACAGAGCTCTTAGCACTGAATCACTAAACTCAATTATCCCCTGAAAACATATTAAAATGATTCTGTTTTTATTGCAAAGGGGTGAATTAATCCATATTTTTTTTTTAGTGAAAATAGGCTTCCATTTGAATTTACAGAGAACATAAAGAACAACCAACTCCTGCTCTGCAGGTCGATCAGTGTAACCCCTTGGGCACCAGTGACAGCGGTGGAGGAAGGTACAGAGTGACAAAAAAACCCTCCTGTGAGTGACCCAGCACGTCCACCCTTATCACAGCCTGTCCCTCACACTCCCTGGGGACTGGGACTGCAATTCCTGCAGTGCACAATTAGTTGTAAAAATAGCAGAAGTTTTTAGGAAACCTTACAAGCTGCCTGTGAGGATGAGTGTGGCCAATGCACACCCACTGTACAAAGGCAAAACCACGTGGCCATGAAAAGAAAATGTAAATAATAAAGTCCAGAGTGAGATCAAAACTCTTCCAGTCTCAGGGAATTTGGATTTGAAAGCTGCAAAGTTTCTGCCAACCTAATCCCAGCCCAGGAGAGCAAATGCCCATCAGCAATGGGGCTACTCAGAGAAGGTCTTTCCAGGGAGAGAAATGGGGAAGGGGTGTTAAATCCAAAATCCTGATGTGCTGTTCCTGCTCTTGTGAGCCTGACTCGGAGCCCCTCAGTGTCAATGAGCAGATATTTGGTTAGATATGATGGTTCCTTCTGGAAGAACAGTTTTGTTCTGTTGCTGTGCTTCTCTTTTTGCTGCAAAACAGAAAAGTCACAAGGAGAAATGTTCCCTTGTGCTCAAAGACAACTTTGGAAGCGCTGTCTCCCTTTCCAGCCTCACCAGGGTCAGGAGCCTCATCCTCTGCCTTGTTAGATGCTCTTGCTGCTGCTTCTGTGCTGCTCTGCTCGATTCTTTGATGCTGAGCTCTCCATTTGAGATGCCTTGCTTAAAGAAAAAATACCAGCCTGATTTAAAACCCTTTTTCCAATTAAGCAGCAGCGAGATTTCTGCCAAGAGCAGCCAGCCCGTCTCCTTCCGAGGGTGGAAAAGCTTCCAGGGCTCTGTTTGTGGCTCTGCCTGGTGCAGTGGGTTTGATCTCAACAGCAAGGATATGACTAGAAAGAGGTTGGCATCAGTGCCCACACAGGGCAGGCTGAAATAGATGGAACAGGGATGCAAAGAAAAGGAGGAGCGAGGTGATCCCCCCAAAGAACACCTGGATGCCTGGGGATATGTGGAAAATCTCCCTCTCACCCCATGGCCCTCCTGACTTTATCCAGGAAGATAATCTAATCTAATCTGATCTAATAATCCTCCAGAAGGTCATGACCTGCATCTGACCAGCATTATCTGATAGCAGTGAGGTAAAGGGCCTGTTACAGGTTAAGTTGTCTATCTGAAAGAATTATTTTTGGCTTCAAAAGCAACACCACTTCCCCACAGGCTTCCCAGAGAAATTCCTCCAGCCTCAGAGACTGCAGGGAACACAGAGGTTGGATCTTCACAGCCTGCACAAGGCAGGTGACTGGGAATGCATCCACATGGAGCCCTGGCCACAAAAAACACTTTCTGGTTCTTCTTGCCTGGTTCCAGCTTCTCGGGTTACACAGTCTTCCTTTTCCATGGTGACAGGGAAAATGCAAGGTGTGCTGACATCTCCCCTGCCTCATGGATTTTTAAGGATAGAAACTGGGCCTGAAGTGGAATGTTTTTATGGACTGAGAATAATGAGTTAAATATGGCCTATTTTTGTCTTGCCCTGTGCACGTAACGTCTGCTGGAGCTCCCAAATCAGCACAAAAATACCTGCCCAGACCTTCCTCCTGCAAAAAAAAGTGACATTTTACAAGAAAACACTTTTAATATCATTTTCCCTTCTATGTCTTTGGACACCCTCAGGCACAATCCTGTGCTGGCCCCCAGGCAACGGGTTTACTGTGACTAAAATGCAGCAAATGGGTTTCAGTCAGCACAATATTCGCTGTCTGCTGGAACCAAGAGCAACTTTCAGGGGTGGAAAATCAGCAGCTCAGAGTAAACCCGGAGCAAATAACTATTTGGAGGGCAGGAGATGGTCATTTTGTGCCTGGCTGTTGGGTGTGCAAGAGCACACACACGTGCTTTGCTCTGTGCTCTCTGGTTTGTGCCTGTTTTGCAGCAAAATGGTGTGAGCAGAGGGAGTGCCAGCACCTACATTTCTGGCTGCCCAGCATTTCCCACTGCAAGCCCCTGCTCCCGGTCTCCTCTCATCTTCCTGAGCTGAGATCTCGCCTGCTGATGTAATTCCAGGCTGCCTCAGAACAAATATTCTGGAAGGTTTCTGCCAAAATCAGTTGGAGGCTGGAGCCAGGGGAAAAGAGGAGGCTTACCTCATGCAATGCTGATTCTCCCCTGGGTTTCTCTGAGGTCGTCTCACTCTCCCCTGATTTTGATCAGGAACTGGGAGTTTGGTGGTTTGGCCCTTGCCTTTTTCAAATCCCGTGGCTGCTCTTGTGAAACAGGTGGGATGGTGGAAGAACTGGGATCCCAACCCTGGGATCTGAACAGTGGCCTCAAAATGAAGCAGCTTCTACGCTGAAAGGAGCTTCTGCCTCTGATGGGGCAGAAATGCTGTTTGTGGAGAACTGAAACAACAGAGTGGTGGATCAGCCCCTGGGAAAATGAGTAATCCCATATTCAACCCTGAATCCAGAGGAAGGAGGTCAGCACTACACAGGGGAGAGGGCTGAGGAGGAGCCTGCTTTTTAAATGCATGAATATTGAATTCCCTTGGTAGGGGAATTCCTCCCATTCAAAGAGTCAGGCAGAGGTCTGGAGGAAAATAAGGACATTCCTTTGCTAATTGTTTTTAAGATGTGATACCTGTGCTGTGAGGGGAGAGCCAGAGGATGGCAGGATGTGGGAGAGGGCAGGTGAGAGAGAACTCAGGAGATGGGATGGGGCTGGAGGAAGAGGGTTTGGAAAGAGAGGAGAGCAGAGGGATCGGCACTGGGTCAGTTATCAGCTTCTCTTTCCTGAAGTGTCAAACATGGAATTAGAAGAAATGAAGGTTTGAGGAGTCTGGGGTGTTAGCAAAGAGGGCAGAGGGGTTGGTGCAGGAGAAGTATTTAGAGCTGCTCAGCTCAGCCACCAGTGTGCTCTGGTTCCAGTGACAGGATGGGAGCTTTGACACTTCTCCCACACTTGTGTCCCAATCCCAAACCAAATCCCACCCAGAGGTGTCCCCAGACCAAAGAGGCAAAGAAGAAGAGGAAGAAGCAACTAACCAGGACGGCCTTGCAAGAGAATGAGGGGTGAATCCTCGAGGGAGCAGAATCTCTTTGACACAGCATTTGACATGGAAAAAGAGACAAAAACTATTTTGGGATAAGTGCACAAAAGAGTTAAAGCAAATGAACGAGACAATATTAATTGTCTGCAACACAATCTGCTTGACTTGTGGTTTATAAAGATCTCTCTCTCCTTTAGTTCCCATGGCAACTGTTGCGCAAAAACACACTTTTCCTAATCATCTCCACAGAGTTTAAAGCAATTTTGTAATCCAATCAAATGGAAAGGAGAGAATTTGTTTGGGCCTTGAGAAAGCTGCTACCTAACGAGCACACAGTGACGGGGAGAGACCAGACTCACAATTACAACCCCGGAGAGACACTTAATTACTGAATAATTAGCAGTTACTGGAGTTTCTTAGCACTGGGAGGAAAGGCTGAGAAGGGTTGTGAGGAGAAGGGCTGTTGTAATTCCGAGGTCTTCCAAGTGGCTTTCCAAAGTGGGAAGCAGCAAACCTTACCGTGCATTTTCTGCAGCTGACGCAAACCGCAGGCGGGCACGGGTTGTGTAACAGCAGGAGCTGAGGATGGGGAAGTCTTTGCTCACACTGAAGCTCCCAAAAACCTGAACCCCCAGGGATCTTCTGGACCCTGGGAGGCTTTGCCGGGACATCCCAGGTGCTGCAGAGCAGAAGGACTGGGCTGTTGGACGGGGATGTGCTTTCCAAGGGGGCTTTCTCCAAGCAGGACAGGGGGTTCTGCCGATCCTTCCCAACCATGTTCACAGGCACCAAGCCCAATCTGGCTCCTGGGAAGTCAGAGGCACCTCTGTGGGCTTCAGTTCAGGCAGATAGGATTGAATTATTTCCCATGAAAGACAGGATTTTTTCCTGTAGGGGGAAGAATTGATACCCAGATTGTCTTCCTGGAGTGAAATGCTGAGCTACAGAAAAGTGATTACCTCTTGATTTTTAGTCTTCTAACTCTTAAGCCCAGAAAACTGCTCTGAGTGAGATTTTAAATACCAGTTTTCCCTAAAGGATAAAGCCAGGAAACAGCATGGCAGAAGTGCTCACTCTAACTGGACAACTCATGAAATTCATAGACACTTGGTATTTTTATAACTCTAAACTTGATCAAATTGTGGTTGTGTGTTGGTTGGAAGGACTAAACTGACCACAAAGTCCCCTTTAGGAGACCTCTTAGGAAAACACCCTAAAAAAAATTAAGCTGGATCAGTTTTCCTTCCTGCAGCACTACGAGATGCATCCCTAGGCCTGCCTGGGGTTTTTTGGGACAGCCTGATTTCACCTTGGGCTTTAGGACGATGACTTCATGTCTCCTGCCTCATATGATCACCCTCAGGAAAGCTCTCTGCATAATCTCTTGGCTTTTCATAAATGCAGGAGCTATAAATGAGGTCAGGGCTCCAATGCTGTACCTCATCCAGGCACTGCAGAGCTTGGAATAATCACCTGGCCAGGCCTCTGCTCTCCTCAAGTGGTCCTTCAGAAGGTCAGACCTTGGGCTCCTGCTGCTCATCCGCCTGGTTTAGTGCTCAGCTCGTCCTCAGGGCACCTCAGGGCACTTCAAAAAGCAGGAAAAGAAGATGAATTATGTAAAAATAAAGCTGCTTCAACTGGTTCATGTTTCAAACAGAAATGAATATAGAAATTAATATAGAAATTAATTTAGAAGTGAATCAACGTTCTGCAAAAAACCCCCCCAGTGGGTCAATTTGTGTGCATTTTTTAATGTTTTTGACCACTTTGGATTGGATTTTGTAGAATTTGTTCATCTCTGTGGGTTTAACTTTGGGAAAAATGAGACATTCAAGCATTTCAGTCTTCCCCCCCGCCTCCATTTTCAGCTCAAAAGAAAACAAAGCCCAAAGGAAGCTGAGTCTTTTCCCTCCCACTCCTACCTGTGGGATCTGATTTTTCTGAGGTGCAGATGTCATCAGGAGAAGAATGATTTCTTGATTACACAGGCCTTTTTTGCTTCATCATCCTTCATCCCCTATCAAACCCCAACAGCTCCATGGACAGAAGAACACATCCCAGAATGGTTTGGGTTGGAAGGGACCTTAAAGACCATCTTCTTCCACCCCCCTGCCATGGGCAGGGACACCTTCCACTAGAGGAGGTTAAAATACTCCTAATTTCCCCTCTGTCAAACAATTATCTGGGCTTGTGCTTCAGCCTTTTCCTGTGCTCGCTCAAAATGGACAATTCTTTTCATGAAACTTAAACACACTTGGGATTTTTGCAACCCCAGTCTTGATCGAGCTGTGGTTGTGTGTTGGTGGGAAGGACTAAACCGACCACAAAATCCCCTTTATCTTGGAAAAACAACCTGAACTTGGACAAGGAAAAAGCCCTTCACATCTTGAAAAACGACACGGTGTCCCCAGCAGGAAATCCAGGTCGTTTCCAAGTGATAAGGATTTTCTTCCCTCACTCTTTCCCGTTTGGAAGCAGCCTCAACTCTGCCTCTGTGTGGCAGCGCTGGAAAAGAACACGGGGAAAAAAAAAAAGAAAGAAAGATGTGTTTATTTCTTAAGGTCACTTGGTTATTAAATTTCTTTATTCTGCTGTGAACCTTGAAATACCAGGGAGATATTTCTGCAGGCAGCTCGGGAGGGCTGAGGGGAATAGGCTGGAGGAAAAAATAACTAAAAGATACAGTTAGGGCCTAATTGTTCTCAAAACTTTACAAAGAAACAAGACAACGTCAATGTAACATTAATAACAGAGATAAAAAGTAACCCAGAGCAGCCATTACACTTAAAGTAATTCCTGGAAGCAAGTAGAGGGCGTATGAAGTCATCATTTTCAGGGTCTTTCAAGCTGTTCCCAAAGGGAGCTTGGTGTGCCTTTGAAGGAACCTTTTATTTACTGTGGTAAATTTATTTACACATGGTAACACAACACATTTTCATGCACTTATTCTTCATCACACCTCAAATGATCTGGATGCGTGCTGGTAATCACAGAGTTGTTTAGGTTGGAAAAGACCTTTAGGATCACTGAGTCTGGTGGTTAAACAGAGACAACTCCTTGTGTCTCACCTCATTACTGATGCTGAATGGAATATTCTTGGATTATCAATAACAAATTTCAAAAAATTCAATTATGACTCAAAAGGACCAGCAGAGGGCTGCAAGCAGTGATTTATTACTGAGCACTGAATCGATGAACAACAGGACTCATCAAGTCCTTAATGATGCCTTGGTGTTCTCCTACAGAAGGGAACATACACGTTGTACTATAGATAAGTTGCCAAAGTAAAATAAAATAAAAATTTATTCTTTTTCCTGCACTGCTCAAAGGCTGCTGCAGACCTCTGCCAAGGCTCGGGATTGTGGGATATGAAATTACGGGAAAGGGGCAGGGAAAGGAACGATCCAGGCAGGAAAAGGGAAGGTGACGTTATTACAGCTGATCCTGAGCAGGAGCTGGAGAAAAATTGGTGGGAGAGAAAGTTTGTGCATATGGAAAAAGAGATTCCTTTCCTGGAAAAGCCTAAGGTGCTGAGAGACAGAAGTGAGATAAGATGATAGTGGGATTTGTCTGCTTGTTACCAGTGTCCTTCTCCCTGACTTTTGCTTGAGAATTAAGTACTCAAGTGCTGTTACTTTCTGCCATAAGTAGCTAAAGACCATGGAATCATGGAATGGTTTGGGTTGGAAGGGACCTTAAAGATCATCTCGTCCCACCCCCTGCTATGGGCAGGGACACCTTCCACTAGACCAGGTTGCTCCAAGCCCCATCCAAGCTGGCCTTGAACACTTCCAGGGATCCAGGGGCAGCCACAGCTTCTTTGGGTAGGAGCAGGGATAACCTGTGGCTCTGCTCCACAACCCCGGGGTGATGCAGGGATTGGGATTTTCCTCAGAGGGGAATCCCTGAGGGCTGCCCTGGATGTGACAATCACAGGCACACTGACAGGTTGGGCAGAGAAGGGATTAAAAGCAGCCCCCTGGAGAAGGACTTGGAGGTGATGGTTGATGACAAATTCACCATGAGCTGGCAGTGTGCACTCTCAGCCCAGAAAGCCAATGGGATCCTGGGCTGTATCCAGAGGAGTGTGGGCACCAGGTTGAAAGAGGGGATTCTCCCTCTCTACTCTGCTCTGGTGAGACCCCACCCGGAATACTGTGCGCAGTTCTCGTGTCCCCAACATAAAAAAGACATGGAGCTGTTGGAGCAAGTCCAGAGGAGGCCATGAAGTTGTAAGAGAACTGGAGCACCTATCCTATAGACAGGCTGGGAGAGGTGGAGGCGTTCAGCCTGGGGAAGAGCAGGTTGTGTGGAGACCTCATAGACGCTTTCCAGTATCTGAAGTAGCCTGCAAGGCAGCTGGAGAAGGACTATTTCTCAGAAGCTGCAAGGACAGTGACTGTGTATCAGAAAGTGTGGCCAATAGGACTAGGAAAGTGATTGTCCCCCTGTGCTGGGCACTGGTGAGGCCACACCTCGAGTGTTGTGTCCAGTTCTGGGCCCCTCAATTAAAGAAGGACATTGAGGGGCTGGAACGTGTCCAGGGAAGGGAACGGAGCTGGGGAAGGATCTGGAGCACCAGGAGCAGCTGAGGGAGCTGGGGGGGCTCAGCCTGGGGAAAAGGAGGCTCAGGGGGGACCTTCTGGCTCTGCAACCCCCTGACAGGAGGGGGGAGCCGGGGGGGTTCGGGCTCTGCTCCCAGGGAACAAGGGACAGGAGGAGAGGGAACGGCCTCAAGCTGTGCCAGGGGAGGGTCAGGTTGGACATCAGGATGAATTTCTTTGCAGAAAGGGTGATTGGACATTGGAAGGGGCTGCCGAGGGAGGTTTGGAGTGCCCAGCCCTGGAGGTGTCCCAAGAAGGCCTGGATGTGGCACTCAGTGCTCCAGGCTGGGGGACAAGGGGGGCATCGGGCACAGGGGGGATCCACGGGCTGGGAGGGCTTTTCCAACCTCAGTGATCCTGTGACAAGGAGTAATGGGTAGAAATTGAAGGAGGAGAAACTCAGGATATTGGGAAGGAATCCTTGGCTGAGAGGGTGCTGAGGCCCTGGCACAGGCTGCCCAGAGAAGCTGTGGCTGGGCCTGGATCCCTGGAAGTGCTCCAGGCCCAGGCTGCACAGGGCTTGGAGCAACCCGGTCTAGTGGAAGGTGTCCCTGCCCACGGCAGGGGTGTTGGAATGAGATAATTAAAACCCGTTCTCACCCGCACCATTCCCGGATTCCCTGGGATTCACTGAGGGACTCCCGGACCCGCCTCCCCGCGCACGCGCGGCCCCTGAGGGCGGGGGGGGGGGCGTGTCCCGCGCTGACGCGGCGGGAAGGAGGGCGGAGCGGCCCAAGATGGCGGCGCTGGGGCGGCCGCGGGCCCCGCTGAGGGCCCCGCTGTGGGCTCCGCTCTGCGCTCCGCTCTGCCTGGCGCTGGCGGCCGCCGCGCTGGGCAAACCCAGCCCCGTGAAGGTGCTGTCGGACGGCATGTGGCGGGATCTGCTGGAGGGCGAGTGGATGGTGGAGTTGTGAGTGGGGCGGCGCTGGCGGGGCGGGGTGTGGGGTGCGGGGTGTTTGTGTGGTGTGTGTCTGTGTGTGTGTCTGGCGGGGTCTTTGGTGACAGGGTTGTGCTTTACCCCCCTTCAACGCACAGCTACGCCCCGTGGTGTCCCGCCTGCCAGAACCTGCAGCCGGAGTGGGAGAAGTTTGCCGAGTGGGGAGAGGACCTGGGGGTGAACGTGGCCAAAGTGGATGTGACGGAGCAGCCGGGTGAGAGGGGATGGAGGGGGCGGCGGGGGATGCTCAGCTCAGACAGTGGTGCTTATGGGAGATAAACTGAATTAATAGGGGATAACACGAGTCTTTAACTCATCTCCACCAAGAGTAGATTACTGTGTGGCTAAACACTGTAATTTTGCTTAATAAAGTCATGGAGTGGTTTGGGTTGGGAGGGACCTTGAAGATCGTGTTATTCCACCCTCCCTGCCATGGGCAGGGACACTTCCACTATCCCAGGTTGCTCCAACCCACGTCCAACCTGGCCTTGGACACTTCCAGGAATGAGGAATTCACCACCTCTCTGAGCAACCTGTGCCAGGGCCTCACCACCTTCACAGGCAGCAGACAGTCAGATAATAGATAAAATAGATAGAATAAATAAATTAGATAACCTATCATTCTCTTCTTGTATTATATTTTTTCTCTAGAGAAGTGGTTTGGAGGATTTCAGAAGATTTTTGGCCATACTTTTTGAGCAAAGCTGTGGCTTCAACCTTCCCTGTAGCAAGTCCCTCCCTTGGTTGGCAAAAGGGAGTGTAAAGAGTCTGCTTTCCCTCTGCTCCATCTCACTTATCTCTGTGGGATTTTAAACGTGATGTTCTCCATGCTGATCCCTTTCTCCAAAGTCACAGAGTTTTTGAAACTTGCCTCACTTGGGTTATTTTCTTCAAGGTTTTTGGGGGTTGCAGATCACGTGGGGAAAGGAGAGAGTCTCTCTCTTAGGAGCTACAACCAAAACAGTCAAACAGAGCAGTTACCCCTGGACATCTCTTTTTTTTCACCATGGAAAAACTTCCTTGCTGTTTGTCCAGGGACAAATTTCTTTTAGGCCACGTGTACTATGATAGGCACAAGGTTGTGTTTTATTGCATATAAAGGTTGATACCTGGGGGTGCCACTGCCTGTATTTTGATTTATAATAACATTTCTTGCCTTTTCTTACACAAATCTTATACTTTTCTCAAAATACCTGTTTTCCTACAGGATTAAGCGGCCGTTTTATCATCACAGCTCTTCCTACCATCTATCAGTAAGTACTGAGTGCAACAGGATTTTTTGGAGGAGATTAGACATTTTTTTTCCTAATTTTTTGGGACAAATAAAAGAGATTTATTATGCTCTTTAAGAATGGGAGTTACTTTTCATTTACCCAACCACTCTCCTACCTTCTGTGACCTTATAATACTGCCAGATGATTTCTTTTCCTTTCCCTTCAGGCCTTATTTATTCTGTCTTTTCGTGGGTGTTTCTGTTTTGCAATCGTGTCTCTGTAGGTTGATCTTTAATGCAGCTGTGTGGCAAGTGCTTTAGGAAGATCATTATCTTTTTTCTTTATGGAATCACAGCCTAAAGCCAGCCAAGATATTCGTGGGGTCAGTATTCTGGGAGTAACTTGTAATTGAGGCGTTTGGAAAAGATTTTAGAGGCAATATCAACTAAAGAATTAAAACTGACTAAGTAATTAAATATATATAAAAATAGACAAGGTGGTGGGAGGGAATTTGTTGAGTGGAAGCAAATGCTCCATGCTTGAACCATATAAAAGAAAGGATTTTTTTTGTTGTTGTTGATTTACAGCTGCAAAGATGGAGAGTTCAGGAGGTACCAGGGTGCAAGAACTAAAACCGACTTCATTAACTTCATCAACGACCAGGAGTGGAAATCTATTGAACCAGTGTCCTCGTGGTTTGGTCCTTCCTCTTTCCTG